AGCACAGGATGTGATCGCACCATCCTGCCCGTAAGCAATCTCCCAACTCATCTCTGTTGCCAACACGTATGTATTTATAATACGGAATCATTCTGCTTTCTATTTGTCTATAAAATGACGGTTTAAAAGAAATTTTAGGCAATCGAATACCAATATTTTACGTTAAGAGAGCAGGTATTTTTTGTTATTGTGACTTATTGGGAATACGTATTAATCATCATTCAACACCAGCAAAATGTATATGTTTGCATGGCAAACATTGATGTTTGCAGAAATTAAACTCCAGCTCATCTCTGGGATATTTGGGAGTGACAATAACAAATTCGCATTCACCGAGCATATTCATAAATATTTATAAAGCCGTCAATGAGTAATTTCTCGGTATATTTCACGTTACAGTCAGACCACTTCCTGCGAAAATGGTGCCACCGCTCGGCGTTATATAAAATTCATTTATTCAAGTTTTGCTAGATATTACATTAGCGATAATATAATGTTAATTTAATAGCTATGTAACATATCTAGATGGCGGGACGCGTTTAGGCGCCATTACGACATACGTATATATTATATATTACGAGGGCTGGAACATTTACTTTTACGTTTTGGCAGTCGTCAGTTTTTAACGGTGAACGCGGATACGGCCCAAATTATTGCGGAAAGGTCCTGGAATATGTCCGGAACATTTCTGTCATGTTTTGCAACATTATGTGCCGCTCGAGTTATGTCGGTCCTCTTTATGGCACGGCCAATAGAGACTCTGTGGTTGATAAGATCGTTCTAAATTCGCGGTTTTGCGAAAAATACATGGCACTTTCGCCACAAGAAACCCCGTTGATACGCGGATTTAAACATGATTCCACCAACCGAGAGATTCTTCCACTTTCTGGATGTCAATGCAATGGATTGATCGACTACAATTTTTGTCGTAATCCTAAATCCGACTAGAAACTGGACTATGCGAAATTAACGGAATAGCAATTGAATGCAATACCATAAAGGTAATAGTAAGTTTTTTTCCCGCTACATACGAGTAAATAATTTCATTGAATAACTCTAGGGATACTTCATCAGACGAAAACTAGGTAATGTTACAATGGAAAGAATTATTGAAGATAAATCTGGATCCCTATGATTGATAATCTAGGTGATGATTGAATTATCTTCAGAACGATAGAAAGTGATCATATCGCGGAATACTATTTGCTCTGTGCAAATGTTTCCTTTAAATTGTTATTATATTTCTGAATTTATACCGACAGATAAGAATCCACAATAAATTACGAAATATACGTGCAAAGTGAAAAATGCCTTGAAAGTAACTTAGGTATTCGTGGCTAACAGAGTGACTATTCCACTAAATTCCCTACCAGTACGTCAATGTAGCATACTGACAACGTAAGATTGTATAAAAAATGAACAATAATACGCAGTCATCGACTCACGCCGATGACTCTTTTCATGGGAGCCATTTTGGAGAACGATCCTCGACCCCCTGTCGGTGGAATCATCGTTAAATCTCGCTCAAAACTCGGGTTTCTTTGTATAATATATACATAACGGTTTGTTAAGGTCTTGGCAGCGGTTCTAGCTAGTTTTCGGTAATTCCGCTACGTGTCGACCGCGTTTTCCGCGGGATCTTCCGTCTTATGTTTCCGGGGGCGCCCTCGCCTCCTGTAATGAGATGGCACGCGTCTGTAATTCGCCCTGTCCCTTCCAGGAGGGAATCTCCTGTTGTACCAGTCGGGATGTCGTTCCGGTTGGAGGGGTTGAACAGGTGGCACCCGGTTGTAGTTCTGGTTCGGGTTCCGGTTAGGCGCAAACCGCTGGTTGTTCACCGTAAACTGGCGGAACCGGCTGGAGTCGTTGTCGGTGACTCGGCGCCGAAGACACACGGCACAGCGGCTCACTCTGGAGGTGTGGTCCGCCTTCAGGGTTTGCTGAAGCGGTTTCCGGAACATGTCGTAGTCCTTGATGGTCGCCAGCCAGTAGGACGAGGCCGTTGTGAAGTAATTGCAGGTACCCAGACCTCGGCACTCGATGAAGGGACGCGCACGGAACTCTTCGAGGCAGGAACCTGGCGATACCAGAGATTGCCCGCCGCCCGCGGCTCCGGCATCCCGATGCTACGGAAAAGACACATTTTTTTAGAATTTCCGAGGAAAACTTACATGAAACACTCTCATGAACACATTAGCCACGGTATTTCGCCGTTCAAGTGTTGCCGTACTTAAGGTGATATGAAAGAGTCATTCTATACATATATAAAACGTTCAAATATTCATAAAACTTTTCTCCAAACTAGGTGCACCGAATAATTTGAAACTTTAACACGTAATTATGGAGACCCTAAGGAAGAACGCCTTGCTCGTGAAATTTCATTTTTCACAAAACAATGTGATTTTGGTTCTAGTCTACGCTAGATAAAAAGAAGTTTTGTTTGAAAAATAAAATTTCAGGAGTATCGCGTTCTTCCTTAGGGCCTCCATAATCATGTGTTAAAGTCTTAATATATTCGGTGTACCCAGTTTGGAGAAAATTTTTATAAATATTTGGACGTTTTATATATATATACGTGGTAGATAATAGAATGACCCTTTCATATTACCTTAAGCCTCTGCAATCTAATCTTTTTCAAGTCAACCAAAAACTGATATAACACGAATTAACCTCCTTATATTAACGAACTATATGTTTGTAAATGTACAATTTATATAAATCTTTATAAATTAAAGCGTCTATAAATATAGAATTTATAAACAAATTCCTTGGTTACAAAAGTGGGGTATGATAATAAGGTGCGACATTTCGTTTCACCGGAAAAATCAAATAGAACTCAAAAAGTAACGATTTGCAGGTACGTGAATTCAAAGTCACATGGCGTTACAGAGGGTTAACCATTATACATGCTCGGGTGTAATTAAATGGATATAATGGTAGTACTTATGATTGTGCACGGAATTTCAATGTTCCGTTAATTTTATCACAGCGATTGCATCTGTAATTCTTGCTACTTCTTAATATTTGGGTAGTCGTTAGTGTTTATTTAGTTCAATTTAGGATTGGGTACTTTACCATGAGGAAACTGTAGCCGACCCAAACTTCCTCCCAGCCACCGGGACATTCTGGGATCGTCATGGTTTGACTGTGGACAGCGATCAGTCTGGTCGGCGCTTCGCAAACGGAACATCTGGAGATGTATCTGCCGACTTCCGGTGCCGGAATGGGCGTCATCATCATGGGCATGGGCTCGGTCGTACTCAGCCAGTAACTGTAGTCGTTACGTTGGGCGTAATCGCAGACGTTATTCAGGTTACAGAACATGAACGGCATCGTTGAGAACTTCCTTATGCAACTGCCGGCTGCGCCTGAGTTCCAGAATCAACAGTTTCTTAATACAGAACCTTTCTAACGACGCCATGAAGATTTGACGATTTAATGGTAAAATGAGTTCAACAGTCTTTATTTATTCCAACAGGAATGGATATCGATCGGAAACGTTTCCATCATTGAGGAACACTTACCTAGGTCTTGGGCGTAAGGATGTCCATTGCCCATTATATGCAACAATGAAAATCCCTCCCACAGTTTAACGGTATTTCGGGGACAGAGAGGTATCATTTCCGACTGCGAATGTCTTGCAAAGTGGAAGCCTCTACTGGGTGGAGGTGGAGCAGCTGCAGCTGGTGCTCCAGGGGCGCCCGCGAATCCTGCGTATTGAAGTAAACGGGAAATTATTTTACTCTGTAATTAGCTCGTTTCATGTTTAATAACTTCTTGCAGATGGATTTTCCCACCTGGCGAACCTTGACGACCGATGGTACCCGGGGGACCAGGGTAACCCTCGGGACCATGTTCTCCATCCGGACCTTGGGGACCAGAGAAACCGATCATCCCTCTTTCTCCTGCTCGACCTGGGAGCCCGTCTTCTCCTGGCTCTCCCATCAATCCCGGTGCTCCAGGCAATCCTGGAATTTAATTGGAATCGATCTCACCTTCGTTTCAGCACACGGAAGTTAAACGGAACTCGCAATTATTAATTTCGTCACCGTCTACGTGGAAGCTGCGCTTACCTGGTAGTCCTGGATATCCCATATCTCCTGGTAATCCACGTAATGGGAACGGTGAGAACGGGTTGTTACCGCGATCTCCTTTCCAACCCTATTGTTAATTATAGAAAGATCGATTACAGTCCATTTCAATTCCAATTAATAATGGTCACATATGGCGGAGGAGCAGGCGAAATAAAGAAAATTTATCTCGCATCAAGAGTTCATTTTCTTTAGAATGCATTTTCCTGATATTATTGCTTAGTGCGTAATTCCGGAAATTAAAAGGTGTTTTCGTGAGGTTGGCTGCGTTAATGGATTGCCAATGTTATTATTATTTATAAACTAAACTTCGTACCCGAGGACCCTGAGGGCCACGAAGCCCAGTAGGACCAGGTATTCCATCATCTCCTCTCTCGCCTTTCAAGCCAGGTAGGCCGCTAAAACCAGACCGTCCTGAATCGCCTTTAATTCCCTTTAGTCCTGGGAGACCATTAAAACCGGGCCAGCCAACTTCTCCAATTTGGCCTTTAGCACTTCCCATGGATATTCCAGGTTCTCCGAGATACCCTTTCGGTCCCCGAGATCCAGGGAATCCTTGCAGTCCTGGACGTCCTGGAGTCCCAGGAGCACCCTCTAGTCCTCTCAAACCTGAAGGAATGTTAGATCTTAAAAATCCACCGAAGTTAATGGCCAATTAACAATGATTCTTATTTAAGAACCTGGTTCTCCTCTGACTCCCTTCAAGCCGCTGATGGAACCACCGGTTTCACCAATAATTCCTTTGGGTCCATTAGGTCCGTACTCTCCGGGAGCTCCCTTTTGTCCAGAACGTCCTGGGATTCCTGGTGCTCCGTTGAATCCAGCTCTTCCTACTTCTCCTGACTCGGGGAACTGTCCCGGAAGTCCTGGACAATTATCGATGTTTATTTAAATAACCACTACTCATAAAAGTCGTATATGCTCCATTAACAGAGACCGAGGAGACGTAATCCTTTCCAAGTAAGAATCTTATGCCCTATGGAAAACGACGTATAGTGTAGCGGAATATTTAATATTAATTGTATTCACCTGGTGCTCCAGCAGGTCCTATATCTCCGGGTAATCCTGGCAATCCTGGCAGTCCTGGGAATCCGTCGCTCCCAGGCAATCCGGCGTCTCCTTGCCGGCCCTGGACAGAATCAAGAGTTAATGGATAAAGTTTCTAAATTGATAATAAGATTCAGAGTAAGGTATACAGTTTTAGATTCACCAACCTTAGGACCGTCATACCCGGTATAGCCCTCTTCGCCTATTTCACCTTTGCGACCTCGTAACCCAGGAAGTCCAGGAATACCGAAATCACCTTTGGTGGCCTCAACGTAGGACAGATAACCAGGTTCTCCAATCGAACCTTTAGGTCCATTAATACCGGCCAAACCAGGAGAACCTCGGGGACCTTCATCGCCCGGCATTCCTGAAATCGTAGAAAGAAACTTTCTTGAGACACTCAATTTCTGCATCCGAGTACTTTTATGTAAAGATAGATTACAAACCTGGACGTCCCATAATTCCTGGATCACCATCCAATCCCCGTCTTCCTTTAGGACCATCGAATCCAGCTTTACCCATCGAGCCACGTTTTCCTTTTTCTCCTTGTTTTCCTGAGATTCCTGGGCTCCCTGGCCATCCCTTTGGACCCGCGTCTCCTCTTTCGCCTTTCAGTCCATCGGGGCCCATGTCACCAATTTCTCCCTGTCAATTACAAGTTAATTATCATATTAAGGGGATATGAAAGAGACATGAGGGGCCAACAGTTTGTGAAACTTTTCTCTGAACTGGGTGTACGGAATCGGTTGAAATTGTACCACGTGAATATGGCGGCCCTAAGACAGATTCTGACACCTTTAAAATTTCATTTTCTAGATAAAAATTAAAAAACGATTATAAACAAATTAAAAAGAGATTAAATTTCATAGGTACCAGGGATTTCCTCGAGGTCTCCATTTTCGGGTCGTAAAATCTCAAACGATTCGATACACTTAGTTATGAGAAGTTTCGTAAACGAGGTCTCTCAGACGCTATGTTTATATCACCTTAGACTTTCCATTAGTATTTATAGTGCCATCAGATGTACTGTGTCAATTTTTATGGATATCTCTTTTTTAGTTTAAATAACTCCGAATGGATTTCAAGAATCTAGAATGCCATTGCGATTTACCTTGGGACCAGGAGAACCGTCGTATGCATCGAAGCCAGGTTCACCTTCAGGTCCTTGCGATCCGTCAAAGCCATCCGTGAAGAGTCCTGGTTCTCCAGGAGCACCAGGCCGACCGTCAAAACCTGGGGAACCTGGTGGTCCTACTTCTCCCATGAATCCTGCATCGCCCTTGTCCCCTTGAGAACCGCTGAAGGAGTTCTCTCCCGGAGGTCCATCGGGACCTGGGAAGCCTTCATCTCCTAATAATCCTTTGATTCCAGGAGGACCTGATATACCAGGACGTCCAGGTTTCCCTATGTCTCCAATTTCTCCTTTGTGGCCAAGGGGTCCCGTGATTCCGTCAAAGCCTGGCCATCCTCTAGGTCCTGGTTCTCCGATCTCTCCGATGGTGCCATCTTCTCCTGGGCGTCCCGGTGCTCCGTGAATTCCGCCCATTCCCGGATAACCTTGAGGACCTGCATCGCCGTCATCTCCACGGCGACCCAGGAATCCTATTTCTCCCTTCAGTCCCTTCATTCCATCGAATCCGGATATTCCATCGGGTCCTAAACGTCGGTAAAAGAAACTGTATCAATGATTTCTTTCTCTAATAGTGTTAGGACAGTGGGTAGGCTGATACGAAAGATTACTATTTATTAACATTTCTGCAGGATAAATTCAAAAGTTAATTTCACCTCGCACACCAACGTTGCCTATCATTCCAGGTAGACCAGGGTGGCCAGAAAGTCCAGGTAATCCTCGAGGACCTTGCAGACTGTCACCTCTTTGACCTTTAGAACCCTATGATGCAATAAAATATATATTAAATAATTCCAGGTTTATGTAAAACGGTAATATAGATAATTGATGGATTCTTACTTCTAGACCAGCTAATCCGACGAAACCTGGAGCGCCTTTGCCCCCTTTCGAGCCTTTGAGTCCATCTTGTCCAGGTCGACCACGACGACCTGTTGGTCCAGCATCCCCGAATTCACCTTTCGGTCCAGCTCTTCCTCGTTCTCCGATATCTCCGTAATTTAGATTCGTTCCAGGATCTCCTCGCTCTCCTTTTTGGGCCAAAGGAGCCTGAAATACAGGTATGGATTAGCTCTAAACAATTCTTGATACAGAAAAAATGTTTCGATGAGAAGGTAATTCATAACTTCATTTTTCTACACACCGGAAAACCAATCAGACCCTGCGGTCCCGTTGTTCCAGGTGTTCCACGAGGTCCTGGATCTCCAGGCATTCCAGGATATCCTTTTAGTCCATCAGGCCCTTGAATAGCGATACCCTTTGGTCCTGGTAATCCCGGCGGTCCGATGAATCCTTCATCTCCAGGAGGTCCTTGGAACCCTTTGTACCCGTCGAATCCTGGGATAATTTGGAAAATTAATATTCTATTTCGATTCCATAAAGGAACGTATGAAACGCATTAAACGTCAGGACATGGCGATGTCAAAGCAAATATAAACCTTTTTAGACGGGTAAGCATGTATACGATAGGAGATTATTTAAAGAGATTAATTTACCAGGTTCACCACTCTCGCCCTGGTATCCCTTTTCTCCCTTGATATCGCGAGTATGTTGCGCGGAGTCTCCAGGTTCTCCCTTGGTACCAAAATCTCCCGGAGCGCCTTTTTCTCCATGTATTCCTGGAAAACCTGGATCACCTTGAAGATATTCAATCCGCTCTGATGCTGGTTCTCCCTTTTCACCTGGACTTCCATCCCATCCTGGTAACCCATCTCGACCAGATAATCCTGGCATTCCGTAATCACCCTGAAGAATTCATGAACATTGGTGTCAATTATATACCTGATAAAACTTATGTACATCAGTCCTAAGACTATATAATTCAATTAGTATAAAGTTAAATGGAAATAACTAGGTATATTTAATTTAACCTTGAAATTCATCCTCTGAGGAGGGAATTATAGCTGAACTATCATCTCACCTTTTCACCCTTTGGTCCCGGTGGTCCATCGTCTCCCACGAGTCCTGGTATACCAGGAAGACCTCTTAAACCTTCTATTCCTGGGAATCCCTTGTCGCCTTGATCGCCAGGAGTGGTATGTATTTGATCCACCGGTGGCCAAATAATTTGTCCTGGTTGACCTTTGGCTCCCTGTGGTCCAGCAAGTCCTGGGCGTCCACTGTCACCTTCCAACCCCATTGACCCCGTGGGTCCAGGTTTACCTCGGCTACCTTTGAACCCTCTAGGTCCTGGTGCTCCAGGGAAGCCAGGAGTGCCTGGATAACCATTAATACCCCAATCGCCATGCTCTCCCTTCTCTCCAGGTAATCCTGAGAAAAATTACATCCCAATAAGTGGCTATTTATTAAAGTATTTCACAATGCCTTTAACATTAAGCGTAGAAGCAAGAAAAGTATAAATGACAGAATAAACCATTTTTTTCAGAATAATTCAGTAATTAGAAAAATATAGCGCGCATGCTTATTATAATGTGTGTATTTGGCGCAAAACCTTAGCGAGTTTTCTGATGTGAGCCGAGAGTTTGTTTTTAATTTTTTTTTGTTATAAAAGCACTATTTATCGTTATTACGTACAATATCATTTAGATGTCTGTTATTGCAATTTAGGATGTTATATATATTATATGATAGTACTCACCAGGTTTACAAATTCCGCAATCGTCTCCGCGAAAACCTTTATCTCCTTTAAATCCCGGTTTACCCGCCCATCCATCGGGACCAGGAGTTCCCGGTCTTCCTGGAAGACCGTGTTCTCCAGGAGGACCACGAATTCTTACGCCCTTGCCAGGGAAACCTTTCTCTCCTGTTAAGAAAAATGATATTTCTTGTTGAAATGTTCAATAATTTCTTTTATGGTATACGTCTAATTTATTCACCTGGTGGTCCTGGATCACCACGGTCCCCCAAGGGTCCTAGGAATCCATTTAATCCTGGTTTTCCATCAGGACCCGAGGGACCAATGATGCTTATTCCTGGAAATCCTTTCGCTCCCAATATTCCAACAGGTCCCGGGCGTCCGATTGATCCTTGAGGGCCCATTGATCCCGGGAGTCCTGAAAAAGTTCACGCCTTTTTTATCGTTCACCGTTTTATCCTTGTAATTCCGAATATTCTTGTATTGTTAGGGAATAAATTATTATTAGATACTATGGAGAACTGACCATCGTCTCCTTGCTCTCCTTTGATCGAAGATCCTTTAAGACCAGACAGTCCCGGAAAACCAGCAGGTCCTGGGGGTCCTGGAGGCCCGATATATCCCACTTTCCCAGGCAACCCAGGTGTTCCTGGTTGACCCATATCTCCAGGCGGACCTGCAATGAATTTCACAGCATTAGCGGCGTTGTTAAATTTAATAAAAGTTTTACAACCCTTAAAAGTGACATAATCCCTGGGTTTTTATGAGAGCCCTTTTTTTTTGATAAATGATACCATTTCGTTTAGTAAGCAAAAAGTAATAAATTAATTTCATTAAAGTCATCCTCGAAATGAAGTGTGAGCCTTACCTAAGTCGCCTTGAATTCCAGTATTCCCTTCGACGATTTCATCCAGTTCAGGGTTGTATTTACCAGGTTCACCGACGGCTCCTTGTTTCCCTGGAGGACCTTGATTCCCAGGTTCTCCCGACTCCCCCTGCGTGCAAGCTTATGTAAGGAAAGTGCTTCTACAAATATTTGCTTCAACTTCTGCTTCAAGACTTACATCGGGACCATCGAGACCAGGGGACCCTTCGTATCCTGGAGCTCCTTTTTCTCCCTTTTCACCTGCAGGACCTGCCGGGCCATCAACCCCTTGTTTCCCTCTCGGCCCGTCGTCACCCTGTTCACCTTTCATCCCTTTGATTCCCAGGAACCCAGGTCGACCCTTAAAAAATCAAATAGATACAGATTCGATGCTACAACTTACCTCCTAATTTGTTTCCTTAATAATTAAATAAATATGCGTCGAATTAAAAATTACACCTACATGAAGTAATTATCGGCGTTAACTTTTACACTCAGGAAAAAATGTTATTGAACTAAAGAAATATTTTGTTAATACAAAAGAACAATTATTTTACTGAAATAGGCTCGAATTAATCGAATGCAACGTTTCTTCGGAATTATGACAATTTATTTGAGATTATTTCAGTGAAATAACAATGCTTTGATTTAGCAAAATATTTCATTGGTAACATTTATAGAAATATTTCTTTGGTTCAATGAATGCTTTTTCTCAAGGTAAACGGCGAAATTTCTCCATACGATCCTTTATAAAGTGATGTACATATTTAATTAATATTCAATAAAATTGAAATCTCTTTTTACTTGTGGGCCTTTAACGCCTAGCTCTCCTTTCCGCCCACGGTCTCCCCAGTCTCCTCTTGTTCCTTTTCTGCCGAGAGCTCCTTTGACAGCTTTGGTAGTATTCGTTTCCGGTTTCTGAAATTCCCCACTACTGGGTCCTGGATCTCCGCGATCTCCCTGTTCTCCCGGAGGACCCGCTACTCCGTAAACCGTGTCGCCTCGGTCTCCCTGCATTCCTGGTAGTCCTAATGCTCCAGGGTACCCCTGCATCATATTACCATTATAAATAATCTCCTCCTTTACAAATAATATTTTCAATGCGGTAGAAAGTTACTTCCTTTGCTTTACTTATTCACATCTCAATTCAAAGGAATGCGAGGTACCAAGGAAGTTGAAAATTACACTTTGTTCATATTGAAAAAAAAAAAAGAGGGGAACTTTATTCATGCACCTTTAGAACCGGAATGTAATATTTAATAGTCTCGTCCATTTTTTAGGCTGACGCGGATGTAACCGGTGGATGTAGTCTGCAAGCGAAGGTCGTCTCGAATTTTCTGAGCACCCTCGAGATCCTCTGGAATTTTCTCAGGAAAGGACCTCTGGTATCAAACGGATGTGTCAGCGATTAACGGATTGTCTCGTCAGCAGTCGCGGGTCTCATCTCAGGTTCCGCCAGGAGACTTGTTAGCGACGGTTTCTGATAGTGCTACGTCACGTGGTTACAGTCTAGTTTAAGTCCTGTTACTTATGTACTTCGCTATCACTCCGAGAAACGAGAGAAGCTCTGCCGAATCGATTGCATTCCGACACGTGCATTAACATTTTTATGTCCACACTTTCAGCTACGTTGATCTTTCCGATTTTACATCCAGCGAATTTCTGCTGCTTATCGTTTCTCCGCGAACTGCGGTTCTGCAACTGTATTTTCTGCCCTCTAAGATGAGCGGGATAATTTATTTAAGGAATAGTGGTACAAAGAAGTTATGAAAGATAATATCTGTATTTTTGTCTTACTCGAAAAGTTGCCCATATTTTTGTCATCTGTCATTAGGGGCCAATGAGATCGAAAATTGCGATCATCTTTAAAAGGAATTGCATGTAGTAACTTTACAACATTATGCGAAAAGTCGCAGTTAAGAGGGACGGGAACGCATCGGGTATTTCTAGATCTCAGTTATAGATTAAAAAAGGAAATTAGAAAATATCCGTACCTCTGCATTTTATGCTACATTTATAAATAAACGTACAGGCAACTTCATTTGCTTGGAAAAAGATACGTACTTCGGTATACGTGGAGAATAATTGAATAAGTATCATAAATCATTTTCCTGCTACCGTATGTAAGGTGCTCTCTCACGATAGGTCGCTTTCTCGAATGATGATAAAAGGTAGCGAGAAATCAAAGGGAGGCAATCGATCGGATAATAAAATAAGAAAGGCTTTAGAACTCGAGGGAAAGAAATCGAGACCCGGAGATAGAAGGCCGGTCGATTTGCGAATTCTGTTAAATTCCCAGCCACTCCGGGTGAGGGCTTTTTTCTTTTCTGCCCCGGGACCATTAAATATGGCCGAGAAATACTTTGGTCGACGGACGATATTTCATGCGAGCAGGTGGCGGTGCGTAAAAAAGAGCAAAATCTCCCGACGAGTTCGTTCGCTTTATACCGAGGCCTAAATATTTGTGAGACACGGCTCTGTGTTGGATCTGCCCTGACTCCTTTGACCAGGTTACCGCCTTGAATTAATCGGTATTTCCTGCGTCTCTTTTTTCCCTGGCCCGATGCCGAAAAAGAGCGCACTTTTACCTCCGCGAGCACTTACCATGTCTCCCGTGTCTCCAGGGTACCCCATTTCGCCTGGAATTCCTCTTGACCCTTGGAATCCCTGGAAAAAAATTAAACAAATTGCCAGCCTCAGCGTATTCGTTCATTCAAGGAATCTCTCAGATTTCTCCCCGAATTACATTGTCGCACGGAAGAGAAACAAGAGAGAGCCGCGTTAAAATTGAACCATCAGGTGTCATACGTGTACCTGATAGTAACACCTTAAATTATCCCGGTTTAATTCCAAGCATTCGGAGGAGGTTTAACGTCTTCATCGAAATCTGCAACTTTCTTTCGCGGTTGAAGGATTCACGTAACTACTCCCTTCGGTAACGAGGATTATATTTGAAATAAATCATTACTTTTCCCTTCTATGAAACGTCGAGTAATTTGAAACTTGAAGACGGCCGTTATTTCTTTTACTACTTGCATTGTATTCAAATTGAGAACTCGTCGAAATCAAGAGATGAAAACGGCAATGATCTCTTTTTCGCAAGTGTTTCGATTTGAAAAGCCCTCTTTCAACCTCCGGCGACATGCATTTAAATCATCGCCGTTAAAATGCAAGTCCTTCCTTGCACTTGCACGTTACCTCTTTTACGAAGCAATTTCAAAGAGAGGTCGATGATTTTTATTATCCTTTCGCTAACTTTACGACGTCCCTTTAAATCACGAGCACACAATTCGGAAGATCATATAATCACACGAACCATTGGCCCGTCGAATCCAGGGACACCGCGTTCTCCTTTGGCACCGCGAGAATTAATTCCACCATCTCCTGGTTCGCCCACGGGACCCTTGTCTCCCAGAGGACCCATGGGACCCCTTGGACCATGGGGGCCCGACAAACCGGGTGCTCCGGCTCGTCCATCGGTTCCGTTACATCCATCCAATCCATCCGGTCCCATCACTCCGGATAATCCAGCTGCACCCTGTTCGGCAACGAATGCTACATGAACCCAACTGCGATAATTAATTCGTTACAAATACATCGAATAGAATATTAATACGTACCGAGAGACCGGAAGCTCCTGTGAATCCTCGAATACCTTGATCACCCTAAAATGCGAATAATTACGGTTAACAAGACAAGAAAAACTCATTCCTTCGGTACTTTTACAAAATCATTCAAAGGAACCTTGAAAATAATTTCTTCCTCTTCTTCATTTATTATACTTTGATATTTTACAACTGTTTCTTTCGCGTTACGTAGTTGCAGTACTTGCGGAGAGGCAGGCAATACATTTAATAAGTCCAAATTATCCTTCGTACCGTGGCAGTAATTTGTAGACGCTTCAGGTACTCAGGCTGTTTAATTCATCATCCGCCAATTAACCGTCGATATCTCGTATAATTAACCCTCTTCATAGGAGGGCCTGGGATTATCTCGTTGAAATAATTTTTCATCGACACGTGTGCTCTACGTGTGAGTAACGCAGGGATCGCGTGTGTAGTATCATCGTTGAAGCAACGATAAGGCGACTAATAAATCAGGCTGCTATCCCCGCAGATTCTAATCGAGGTTTACGAGCACTTCCATTTCACTGTCCCTTTATTAAAAGCTCGATGTGGCCAACAAAGCTGTTCTTTTACTTCTCGAATTGCTTAATCTTCTCCGACACCGGTGTAAATTTAATTTGGAAACAATTAACAAAGACAAGTAAAGTAATAAATTAGCTTTTAATTTCGCTCGCTCATCACTTATCCTAAGTGATTCTCTCTCCATTCGGGTTACCTTACCATTCGTTATTTCTCCCAATAGATGTATCTATCTCTTTCTGTGGGGTTTCAATTTTAACCTATTATATTTTTCGTGTAGTTATATTCAATGTGTTTATAATTTAGAAACAATTAACAAAGACAACTGAAGTAATAAATTGCTTTTCAATTGCGGCTTCTCATCAATTACTCTAAGTGGCTCTCTCTTCTTTTCAGGTTGTCTTGCTATTCGTTCTTTCTATGAACCAATGTATCTTATTTTATGGTGTTTTAGTTGATGAACATTTTGTGGGGAAGATGTAGAATTTTTGCCACTTGAAAGGACACATGTGGTACCTATGGGTGCAGGTTGAGTGAAGAAAAGCTCGTCTCATGCTCGTACACATGGCAGCTGACATAATGTTCCCTGTCACACGTGTCGTGAAGTCCTTTGCTAAGAAATGGTCTATGGGAGAAGACAGAAAGAATAGAAAATCCACGGAATTTCTTCTCTCGTCTTCTCCCCCGTGCTTCTTGCTTTTATTCTTAGCCCCCGCGATGGCAACTCGATTAGCTTTCGAATTACGAGATGCAGTTTGGATCTTCCTCGCTTCTAAAAATATATCAATTTCCCAAAGCTGACTCCGACAATGCGCTAGGAAAGTGAAGAAACCTATTTTATTGAATTTATTTTTTATTCACTAGAAAAATATTCAAGTTAACGATTACAATAAAATATGAGTTTTATTCACTCTGATTTCAATCTTAATTGCAGAACTTACGCAGATCTTGGATGAACGTTTAAGAAATATATTTGTGCCCTACAATTTAATTTATATATTATTGATAAAATGATTAAAATTATTTTCACAGCTCGCAGAGAATTCAACAAAAATATTTCTAATATATTCAACTGTCATGATCTTGACGGTAGATTATAGAAAATCGGCAATTTTATTATTTTTTCAATGTTATCTAATATTATTACTTATTCGTTTAAGTAATCTCCTGGCACAAGCTTGAGAAATATTCCGCTTTAATTTATCCCAAGCTTGATGGAAATCGACCGGTCGATAACCAGAGAAATCATCGGAGGGCTTTTTAACCTCTTTTAACCCCTCGCTTTAACCCTCGTTCGGCCAACGAGGAAGAAAATCCAACACGCTTGAATTTCCGCATATGCAAACGAGCAGAATTACCCGAGATAGTATTTAAACCAAGCAAGCTCATAATGGAGTGCATTGACGCAGCTAGAGAAATTAGTCAGGGAATATGGCGGAGGTATTCGAAGCCAGCCGAACTTTTCCAGGAAGGCGGCCGTAAAATTTAAACCGCGTTTCGTGGTGTTCCTTACAATTTTCCATTTATATCTCGTAAGCTCGAACGTGCTCGAAAGGGTTCCGCCCCTTCGACCAATTTTCCTGAAATTTCCTGCTTGGCCTAAGATTTAACGACCAGACTTCGAAACACACCGTTAAGATTAACATGCTTGAAATAAGTGCACCAAGATACCCATCTAAAACTAAACCGTTTATCTAAGTTGCTCAAAAAACATCCTAAAAAAAGCTACAATATAAATAATTACAACATCAAACTAACGTCCTCTTAATTTATTATGCGAAACATTCAAGAATAATTCCTTCCGCTGAATATCCAATTAGAATGAATGTAGCGGGGTTTGATACTTATTCAGGGTATTTTAATTTCCTGTATGCGAGAGGGACGTGAACGATTAATGGGGATTATTTTTAGCTGAATATATTTCCGGGAAAAGGGCTCTCCCAACATCCTTGGCCCAGGGTCGCGTTTTATCCTGCCTTGGGCCTCGAAGACGAGGACGACGGATGTTGTGAGAGATGGAACCAAGATGGCCGCGCACGCGCGTGGCTTCTTCGGCGCGCCACGCGGAGAAGAAAGGGGTAGGCTGTCGGTGTATCTGGATGAGATCACTCGACATCCGGTCTCTCCACGGGTGCATGGAGTGGTCAATGGGAAGTCCCTTATCGGTGAGCGCGTGTCGCGTTTTCCCTTTTCTCGTTCCGTCATATAGTTTTCGAGTAGATTCTGGTCCCCTTCCCATTGGCCATTGTGTTTTTCCTTTGACAATTGTTCTTCATTTTTCATTCCTACCTACTTATCGGTACAAGTTCTTAACTGTTCAATGTTCGTTTTAACGTTGTTTCGTAATGTAGGCTATTATTTGATAAGAGGTGTTAATTGTTAAACATGCCTGTTTCCCCTTTTCTTTTCCTCTTCCATTGTGTTTTTTCTTTTGTTTCTTCAACATTTTCTTGGCATCGTTAATCTTCACGTTTGCTTTTTCCATGGTGGGATTATTTTATTATTATTCATGGAACTTTATTAACGAGGGAGGGTAGAAGTCCGAACTCCTGGCAAGTCCGTTTTACACATTTCATTACATAAGTAGGTAACTGCTGATGTACCGAGCTAGTTGTCAATGGGAAGTCCCTTATCGATATCGCGCTTCCCTCCTCTCTTCCCATGACGCTTCTCTGTTAATTATTTCTTCCGCTATCCACAAAGCTCGGGTACTTTTCCTCAACGTTTTAAAAATTCTCTCTAAGTAAGAATGAACAACAATCTTATCGGTTAAGCTAATTGTTAATTGTTTTATTAGAAGTATTTCACGGTTCATATAGTGAATCAGTTAATGCCTCGGTATTGATTTAAGTACTCGGTTACATACCTTCATCATTTGATTAATAATATATTTTTTATAACGTGATAATAACGTGGTAATGTATTCGTATATATTGGGTTGGCCAAAAAGTTCTGCTACATTCACTGAAATTGTAATTCAATAAATATAAATAAATTTCAAAATTGTGTCGTTAACGTCGCAAGACTTTTTATCCAACTGAATATATATCATTTATGCAATGATTATTAGGAATCGCAATGCATTCCTTTCAAAAATTGTCAAAAAAGTGTAGACAAAAGCGTACATCAGATATAAATAAGACTCTTGTTTATTTCCTATTATTGATCATTTTCTGCAATAAATTTACAAAATACAAGAGAGTGAAAAAGAAATATATTATCTTTCGGATTTCTAATTAAGTTTTCAAAAAGTACTGATTTTGAGGTATGAAACGGTTCGACTTTTTTCATGCACTGTCATTATCTTCGATGATTATTTGGTGTCTCGTATGTGTCGGACGATTTATGCTTCAAAGTTGATTCAGAAGGAGCACCGGAAGCGGCTCGCCTACTCTTCCGCAGACCGATAGGCAATACAAAGAAAACTAGATGATCCTCAATGAATGAATGTCGTAGTACCGAGTGACCTCACATTTCGTCCTGATTCGATGTCGCGTCGTGATGATAACGGTCTCGTTACTACGTGGCAATTATTATTTAGCGTCAATAAAGAAAGAATGGATTCCCGGCCCGCCGCTTATTAATGAGTTCTTCAAATTATTGCGATACTCCTATCCCCAATTTAAAATTCTCCCGATAGTAACGAAAAGAAATACGTGCGAACTTTGTGTTGAAATGTACTTTTGTCAGTTACCACATACCGATTTGAGGTATCTCCGACTTTTTTTTTTTTCGTCAGCAACATCACATATTCATCCTACAATTTATATTATGGATGCATAATGACGTTGCAAGATAAAATTCAGAAGGGATGTTGCAAAAATAAGCTCTTCGAGAATCGACATTAACTTATTCTTCTCGACGTTAATTTTACAATCGGATGACTTGAGTGATACTTTTCGTCCCTTTCAAGGATGCTATATTGCATCCGGTAACCTATTGGAGTAGAATCGCTCCGGAGCGAATTCTCTTTGAGCATAAATCTCTACGCGTACTCGTGTGAGCGAAAGAGCGTAGTTCCTCTTGGTCGGCGTGGCGGAAGTGCACTTCACCCCCGCACAGGGTGATACAGCGCCATCCTCCTTATCGGCACGGCAGCCTCCTTATCACGCGTCAGACTCGTCACGTTGAACCGTTACAAATTGAGAGCATCTGCATCTTCTGTAGTGCGTGGCACTGCGAACCGGATGTCCAACCGGATGATAGCCGTGGAATCGTGAAAATTACGCGTGGCCCGGAATGGGATCAGAGAATAAAAAAAATAACAATATTCCATCTCCTTTTTTATTCCACGAGGCGCGCGAAATAGCACGTTATCGCGTGCACCCTGGACCCGATAAGGTGCTGAAAGAATTAAATCGTAGTCGTCCACTCTCTCAACGATTTTAGAAAAATCTCATCGAGTTAATTCGAGTTTAAGTGTTTGTTCCTATTGTTCGCCCTTATTTTTCAAGACTTTCCTGCTCTTCTTGGCGTTCTTAGAAGATGGCGTGCCATGCTCTTGAATTTTACGTGCTCGCTTAAAAATCACAAGGAAAGTCAATTTACGATTTCTTCCCTGAAATTTGCCGTTCGTTGTTGGCTTTTTCAAGATGGTGCTTTATTGCAGTACCTCGATTATTTCTTTATCGACGGTTGCGAGTGGATGGCCTACTTCGACGAATCAAAACAATGGGGACTTTTCTTCGAGGTTGTTGAACGTTCAGAACTGCGGTTACGTTTCGTTACATTTGGCACGGGTCGAGAGTTCGGTCCTAGTCCTTTCTTTAGAGGGCAATTTTCCGCGTTTTAATGTCGCGCCCCATTATGCCGACTTGCATACAGGCGAGGTGACTCTTATTTCAAAAATAGCGGACCGTGATTACGCACAACATGGCGTGGCTTAATTCGGCAGCTTGGAATCGGATCGACGACCAGGCGTTCGCACAATGGTTCACTGTTTCCCCGTTTCGATCTTTGCTTTTCGTCAACAAACCAAGCCGGTCTTATAAATTCTCCATAAAACTAATGATCTTTTGAAATAACTTCGCAGTCCTCCTTCCACGCAAGAATTAAACATCTTTTCGATTTCCACGTACTTATTAATGTTACTTTCTAATGCCGTAAATACAACAGCTTAATGAATACGACAACAATAGTATTACAGGTTGCCTGCACACCGTAATAATAATACGTGTCTATATTACCTGTTTATTTATATTTTCTTTAATAACCGCGGATACCCTCATTTAATAAAAGGTCTTTCAAGTGAATTATTCTCGATTCGGTTAAAAGTGAGGTTATGGTATTTAATGGTGCCGTCCATTTTAAACGCGAGGAAAGTTAAGAGGCGTGACAAGATTTCAGAATTTGTATACGTTCGATTCCTGGATTCTGCAAATAAATCGGGGGTAAGGATCTAGGTGGCGTAGATCCGTATCTAGAGCAATGATTGTTGCCGCAGCGACATCATTGTCGGCACGTGGGCTTTCCGGGCAATTGTTACTCCAGATAGGGATCAATGCCAAACGGCGTAGATATGATAATTTATCATTACCGCCCACGAGGAATTGCCGGGGCCGAAAGCGCAGAATTGTGTCGTGCCCCAGTGTGCTTCCTACGATAATTTCAAAGCTCTTGCACAAGCGCGGCTCGAGAAAGAGAAGTGACGTCACCTGAGGATCCACCATGATGGCCGGCGGTGGCCATAAACTCGTTCGGCCCGACGCGAACCGATGAGCGTTAATTGCGGGGTCGCCAACACCATAACCGGACATTTGCATATCGCGTCAATTTTCCTGGTCTCGGCACTTTTCGAATGAGCTTCCTTATTCCATGCGAATTTGCTTAGGAACGGCAAAGATCATTTTTCTCACTGTCTACGTAATTGTAATAATTAATTTTCTACTAAATTATAGCTCGCCGATAACTTGTCCCGTTACTTTGCCGTTTAATAATGGCACAGTTATTAAACGGTATTAATATAAATGCAATCGGTTATTTATCCAGATTTAGTGAATTTTGCAAGGCTCTTCCCTTGCCAAGAAATTCAAGCGTATGATGAACTTTTAGTTGTAGATTATAAATGAAAAAATGGAAAATTGCAAATGCATTTTTTTTAAGAACTCCGCGTCGAATTCCTGCTGAAAGTTTAGGGTAATCGGTGGCGTTGAAAAAATGACGTCATTTGGGCTGGAAATCACGCATGGCGTGGTCAAAAGTGGTCGTAAACCAGTTCGGGACGAAGTAGGGCCGATGAACACTAATTGAGGGGGCAAAACCTCCATAACCGGCGATTTGCATGCGACGCTAATTTACGCATATGCGAAACATTTTAGTGCGTTCGTGCGTACATTGCCGCTGCACTTTCGAGCCAGACCTCCCATTGACATGTAACAATACGTTAGATACACATGGTCTCTCCTTTTTGTTAAACTTCTTTTGTCATCTACAGTTATTCATTTTAATTTTTTCCTTTTTATTTCCCTTATCAAATTTGTTTAATTAGATTGAACCGCCAGAAGGCAGCGCTTAGTCTGTCTTTTGCATAAACTTTTACCGTGTTTTTGGAGATTGAATGAGAGGATTGCAATTCAAGTTTTCGGCGACTTTTACGTTAAACTTTGGGATCCGATTTATACGCATAAATTCAATATCAAGGAACATTTGCCCCTTAGGGCAAATGCAACCCGGGTAATCAGGTCTTTCTCACTTTCTGAGAACGAAGGCGTATGAATATTGTCGCACGACATGTATGATGTCATGACAGTTTCTATGTAACTGCGGTAATTTTAACGATATTCTCAGATGTAGCCGTCATTGTTCCTACGAGACGCGACGGTCTTAACGGGACATGAACAGTGGAATGAAATTACGTCAAAGAGTGTAAGCTGCATATGATGCATATTTAATGTGGTCATAAAAATGTGTGAATCGTAAATCATAAGAATTTTGCAAGTATACAAATGAATTTACTGAGATCTTTCATGCTGATGACCAATCACACTTTTTACTATAGTATTCAGGTTTAACGTTACTACCCTTCCGTTCTCTTATATTTTTTTATTTTTCTCCATTGTTACGGCCCCGCATATAAATTTACCGTTGGTACAGTTACTTGCACTGCCGACATAATTGCATCTCGTGTCAGACATCGCCGGTGCGGTGAATAAATTTCGTCAAGATGCCATTTTATTCCTCGTTTAAATATACCGATTTATTTTTAAATTCCGAACAATAATCTATTATCCGCCTATTAAAGTCTGCATTTTATTTACGCGGCATGAGATGGCGGAGTAAAAAATTACACCCTTCCGACATGGGTGATATCGGTAAAGTTCATCGAAATAAACGGAAGAAACATGAACCGAGTGCAAGTGCTGATGAATGATTTCGGAACGCAGCCTGGGAACGTCTTAGGTTGGCTGCGTTTGGCATCATCGTTAAGGGGCATGACATAATACGAAAGTCTCTCAGATTCTACAAAAAAGCATCATTCCGTCGGCAGCGCCTTGAGAAACAGCTGAGCTTTCAGACTTGCTTGTACTGTCAATACTGACGTCAGCGTTTATGTAAGTTTTGTCCGAATCATCGCTTCATCTCTGTTTGCCCGTTTTCGTCAACACAGATTTTGGAAGCCGGTTCCTTTTTCACTTCCCATTATCATATTAATTTTTTCAATCTTTCCTATATTACAAAATGAGTATTTTGTTTTCCCTCGCTCGATTTTCAAGGTTCCTCTGGATGAGAAAAGGGAAATCTGAGATCTGTGTTTGAAAAAGGCTGCCAATAAAAAAGGGATATAGTCGATTGAATTTCTTTGAAATTGTTATAGTTACCCGATAACCCTTCTCTCCAGTTCCTCCATGCTCTCCTCCAGCTCCTTTCTCTCCTTTGGGACCCGGGGGTCCATCGGGTCCGATTTCTCCAGGAGGTCCCTCGGGACCTTGAGGTCCCGTGATTCCGAGGATCCCCTGGGCGCCCTTTATTCCCTTGCAGTCGCATTTGTAGGAATCTCTGCAGGCCTGAAATTAAACAAAATGGCCTACTATTAACATTTCTAAAATCCTTCTTCAAACGATAATTAACCATTAGCGCAAATCAAGCTCAATACTACGAACTAAATAAAAAAACAATTAATCTTGGAAGTAAAATGTCTTTTGAAAATCCAATATGTCGACGATTTCAATCCGAGTACCTCGATATATCTCATGTTTAAAAAAGAAACATGAATACAGTAAAAGTGTTCAATTTTACCCGGTACTCAGGATTTCATGTCCGACGAAAGAGGGAACATGTTTGTGTGTCGGAGAAAGAAAGGAAGAGAAATCTTTCTTCCTCGTCGCCATCGTTGAATACACTCTGTCTGCCCCTTCTCTTTAACGTTGCCCTTCCTGCACATCTTTTAATAATACTTCGCGCCATCACTCCAAATACGTGGGGTGGGTATCCTTTTACACGATTCTTTTATTACGATGATGTAACTGTCTGCCCAAGGCCTGCAGACACGACTGACATAATTCCGCAGATTACCTCGATTTACGGCGTGAAATCGGATCCACCATTTCTCTAAACTCAATTAAACCATGTACTAATTGATTATACACTTTCCTACCATAAAGCACTGACATTGTAATAAAAATGTAATGGGCGTAATATGCTCAGCCCGGAAAGTCCATTAAAATTAATTATAGCCACGTTTAATAGTTTTTAAGAAGAATTATATCTGCTGTCGTGCAAGTCTCGTATGCAGCCACGACTGCAATACAATCCATCACGTTGAAGCAAAAATTTCATTGTAAAATTTCTGTACACGAGGCATCAGGCCAAGTCAATAGCACGAAATCGTGACCGTCCCGATACTTGGAAAGTACAAATACTAATACACGTACGAGTAAGGTATAGAAAATGGGCTTCCGGTATTTGGGTGTATTCGGTAGCTGGATTTTTCTGAACTTCCCCTTGTGAGTACAGTACGCGGTACAGGTATACTCGGAATATCGTGTTACACCCCTGGTACTCTAGGTATTGTTCTTCGAGGTAAATAAAACTGCGATGTCGGCAATTTTGTAAAGCGGTAAAAAATCTCGGCGACCTTGGCGAACTTTTTTTCTAACTAGAAATGTATACAACCGAGAACAAGTATTGTCAGAAAAAAAAAAGAATTAAATTTCGAGAGGTATTAACAATCATACAAATTAAAGGATAAATTCACACTATCGGAAATTATGCGGAATGTTAAATTAATATTTTGTTAGTGGGAACGTTAATGCACATTGAATGCTTACATTTCACATTGGGAATGACATCAATCTAAATAATTAGACATGTTTAACATGGTACTCAGTCACCCTCTCTTGTATAAGATGTCTTGAGATATTGAAAGAAAATTGAAAAAAAAGTCAATCTTTTCACGTTTGTGCAATAGAAATAAAAATTCGAGGCGATAACTCGCGTGAATTTACGCGAACGCCAGAAGTCGAAATTTGAGTTAGTAGTCGTTTTTATTAATGCTTTGATCTTCGGGTTTGAACAGCGAAGACAGAGCAGCGTCTATTTTCAGACAGCGTGGGATCATCGCCCGAAGTCTGTGAAATTGCCGAGTCGATGTTGCCCCGTGAGCCTCGGAAAGCAGATCGTTAATTCACGTAATTCGAGACCAACGAAGATGGGTTACTTTCAGGAATCGCTGTTTAAATAGAAAAAGAGATTCATCGCTTACAATTTTGCCTTCCTTCATTTCGGATTTCCCGGCCGGAGAAAGCGCTCGAAATGATTACCGCGTGCCTACGCTTTGCGGAAACGTACGACAAAGTGTAATACAGGAGAGAGTGAAGTGGCGCGTGAAGTTTCGTGGGTGGAGTACGGATTTGACTTTACGCGCAGATGTATTTCTAATCCGAATGTTTAGGTACCACTTTCCGAGGTTTTTGAACCCATGGCCGGGCGTTTATACGACTCTCTACGTGGTGGCTGGACTGAATCACCGCCTGGGATGTTTCCCCCTTCCGGTATATTTTTCCACGGACATTTCTTTTCCGATAGTTAATAAGTTTATCGAAGGATCATTTTTTTCACTTTTTCTCGATCACTTGCTCTCCAACTTGGAGAGCGAAATCTCCGAGTACGATGTTATCCTCCCATCGATTTCTTATAACTCGTGCAGTTGGTTCGTACTGTTTATTTCACTTTTTTGTTCTCCTCGAATTACTTACAACGTTTTATCAATGTAATTTCCGTGGGACTCCGGAGTGGAAAAACTTTTCAGGCCATATATCTAACTGCATAATCGAAGTTGTCGCAATTTTTATAGGACCATTGGATCTCAATACTCTGATTATTTAATTTCTAATATTGAAAATATATGTCGTTACCGTGTATGCGATTTTTATAATTGTGAAATGTCGTCGCACGTGGCTTTCTCTCGCCTCGTTCTGTTTCAACTCTCCTTGGCTTGTTTCCTGTCTTTTTTTTTGTACATTCATACGTGTTAAAGGTTTTAGTCACACCGCATAATTTCACCTATGTTGCCGGCAGGTAATCAGCGTGTCGGCGAGAGGGAATAAACAATTGTTTAGCGTTTTAAAGAAGTTTTATGGTTTCGAGACGATGGCTCGGCTATCGCTGCCCGGTCGCCATATTCTCCTTATCGCACTTCCATTATGGTCTCGGAGGTGCAAAGATCGGGCAATGGCGTTCTTAAGAGTCTGATGAACTATACGTCGCCTTATGGCACCTGAGGACATTGACGTAGCCTTCGGATCGAGATAATTCCCGCAAAAGTCAATGCAAACTACCACAGTAAAAATGAAATTATCTCCACACAATGTATCCAGGAATTCCCCATCGAAATACAACACAGATTATCAAAAATTTCACCCTGTTTCAAATATATTCGTCTTGGCAAAAATGATGGGTAATGTATTGCGATGATAGGTCGAGGTGTGCGTGTTCACGCAATAACTAATATCATAATTAAATATAATGGTTCCTAATGAGACTTAAGAAATACAGAAAGTCATTATTTCTCTAAGGCTACATCTTTTCGCGAATTTTTCTTCTGCTTTATCGGAATTTCCCATGTTTAATGCATGGAGACCGGGGAAGTAGAAAAATCGGTACCACCCGGAGTGCGAAATAATGGGTGGAAATCCGTTAATAAGTCGGGTTTTTTCGGAGAACTTCAATGCAGTTTGAAAGGCGCGACTTCACCAGGAGCCGTCGGGGTGGAACGGAGGAGGATGCTCCTCAGGATCTGCATAATGTGCAGTAATATTAAGCGTCCTCGACCGGATGACGCTGGCCGAGCGAAATTGTGGGCAGACCGTAGGAAGGTACTCTAATGCCCTCCACTCTTTTCTCCTCGGTATAAGGTAAGACGAGACGATAGTACGCGGTAGTGTGGCACTCGGTATATACGCCAGTAATATCACGAATTTCGAGCGCAGCGGAATTTCGGTCATTCCTGCGTCTCTCCAAAGGCATCTCTCTGAATGGCTATTTCAACTTTTAAACGGAAAAGAGATTCCCCCGCATTCCGATGAAATTCATTGCGTTCAAAATACGGACATATCTCCCTCAACTCATATTCCATAAACATTTCGATATTAAACAATCTGTAATTACAGGCGAAAGCCACGTTTGTTTCAAACCCCCTATCTGCACACGTCATGCCACGTATAACCTTCCCTTTAATCCAAATGTTTGCAATATTGTACGTGAACTAGCGATCAAAAAAGTGATATCGTCGTTTCGATCGATTCTGACCGTAAAAATTTTCATTTCGAAAAAGGCGATCTACGTATCGATCTTTATTTATGTGGCTCCATTCCCACGGAGCTATTTAAACGATTTTGCGGCTGATTGTCAATGATGTCACTAACTAGGCGTATTGGCGATGGAAGCAATAAATTTGCGGCAGGTACGCATCGAAGGTCGGTACCGGATCGCTCCTTGGGGATTCGCCTACGCGATTCGCGGATCGTCCTCGTTTGTATATCATACATGATCCCGTATGTGATCCCGCGCAAAGGTATGTATGTACCTCGCTCGGATGCTGAGCAAGACCGCGAGATCTCGATCTTCTGTTTGCGGTTCCCATTCTCTGATGCAAACCCGGAGGCCAAGGGGATGGTACCGGAAGTGGAATGTTTACACCAACATAGGCGCATTACCATCGCTTCGAGTCACGATTTCGTAATTCCGCCTGCGAGCACGGGTCCGATATCATCTACAAAGATACAGCGAAAATAGAGCGACAAGTCAACATGTCCGCAGCAGCGTCCACCGTTTTTTATCCCTATTTTTTGTTTAGGCCAAAAAGAGTCGTTACTCTTGCCCTTTGGGTCGACCCATGGAATTCTACTGCTCTACATATCGCGTCAATAAATTCACGCAAAAAGTCCCAGCGATAGTGTCTGCCCTGAAATATCCGAAACATGTATAGATCGGCACGCCCGGCTCACCTTGAAATTGCGATGCTTGTGTCGAGATGCTATCTGAGGTTGCTATTTGTTAAAATGAAACCCGACTGAAATTGCGGAACGATTTGCGCGAGGCCTAGATGTCGTCGAATTTACATGACATCGCGGTGATGCAGTGATAAGAGTATCGACGATGGTCGGGTTGATCTTTCCGGGAAATGATTTAATGAGTTAATTACGGAAAAATGTCAGCGTTTCCCGAGGGGGAACGTGCGGGAGATGTTTAGATTTCGAGATAGATTTATGATATACGGCGGTAATTTTACCGTCGATAAATCGAACGGAAAAGAGAATTTAATCCCCAACAAATATCAACCTACCGTTTCAATGATTTAAAATGCCGCGAAATGTCTCGTCATTCGTCCCAGAACTTTTATTTATATAAGATTTTAGTTAATATGCAAATTTGAACAAGTAATAAGAACGGGCGGCAAGTTAGGCCCTGATACCTGTGAACGGTAAAGCTTGGGAAACGTTTTCAGACATTCGAAGAGTTATCACCTAGCAAGTTCTCGTATATCGTATATGAGAAAATATATTTT